CCATCCCATGACATCCCATGCCATGCCATGCCATCCCATCCCATCGCACCGCATCCCATCGCACCGCATCCCATGCCATCCTATGCCATGACATGCCATGCCATGCCATGCCATCCCATCCCATCGCACCGCATCCCATCGCACCGCATCCCATGCCATCCTATGCCATGACATGCCATGCCATGCCATGCCATCCCATCCCATCGCACCGCATCCCATCGCACCGCATCCCATGCCATCCCATGCCATCCCATGCCATGCAATGCCATCCCATGCCATCGCATGCCATCCCATCCCATACCATCCCATCCCAAACAGTAAAAAATAATAAGCAATCAAAAGATAAAAGACATTAAATATAAAACATTTAAATTTAAAGTTTAAAAATTAAAAAAAAATACATACTAAAGAGGTAGGTAAAGGGAAAAAAGGAAAAAAGGGGAAAATATGTTCCCCAGCTGGGACTCGAACCCGGAATCCCGGTGTAGGAGACGGATGGTCTAGCGATTAGGCCACTGCGCCGTTAAGGGTATACCCATGGATTCACACGTACGTGATGTTGGTTAATCTGTACGCACCGCCATCTATTGATGAATATAATTTTTATGAATTTTTAGCTTTTTAACTTTTTTAAATTTTCTCCAGACGTGCTGATTATAAAAATATCTTTAGTTTTTCTCTAGGCTGCGGAGTTCTCTAGTTATGCGAGTACGAACTAATTCGGCTGAACAACTTTATATATATATAGATTATATATATATATTATATATATGTATATATATATAGTATAGATGCATTCATAGTGTTATCTATTAGTTGTATCTTTTAGCTTCTATAAACGTCACAACAAACTCCCCAGAGACTATACTTCATCATCACAAAATAAGACTTACCGAGTTAAAACCCAGCCTATTTTCACTCGTCCAATCCTAATTCTTTTCAATCACCTAATTAAGCGCCCTCTATATATAGACTGCTGACATGTTCGTTTGCCTCTGCTTCCGACGATCCGATTAAGTGATGCGAATGAGCGTTAAGGACCCGCCACTCCTCAGCCACCGCATCTGATTAATTACAAGATGCCCGCAATAACATTTAAGGACTTTCGTCGCGACTGTGTCGTGACAAGTCAGTGAATCGGGAAGATCGCCAAAAGAAAGGAAGGGTCAGGGTAGGGGTGGTATCCTAGGATGGAGGTCAACCGGGCGACTTTATTGAAACAGGGAAAGTTATTCTTACTTGGAATACTGGGAATGATCCACCATCGTTTCCTCTTCCGTCTACTTCATTCCTAATAAAAATGCTGATTGAGTTATACTCGAGAATACGTACGTTGTCGAAGACGGAGGTGGCGCCATCATTTGGAAATCTGATAAAATATAATCGAAACTGGCTATGTAGCGGATTTCTCATTGACGCGTCAGTCTAAATAAGGAATAAGTAAGAATGAATAAGGACACGTCCGCATTGATAGGAAATGAAGGCATATGGAGTGGGTGACTGACCGGGTCTTGTGTCACAACCCGCACGAATAAACGTGGAAAGCGATGTACAGTGAATCAGTGAACCAGGGAAAAATATTTACTGCCAAATCTGTATGTAGCGGTGCTTCAATTGACCCCCAAGAAGTCGCCTTCGTAAACAGGTGTCCGTTTTATAGGCGGCGGTTACACTGTAACTGCCATTTAATGGAAACAACCAAATTTCATGCATAGACACGTGTATATTTTTCAATTATATATATACATATATATATATATATATATATATATATAAACAAATTATATAGATAGATATAGATATAAACGAATTAAACAAATGAAATGAAATGAAATGGAATTAATTTATTTTTATTCACTCCTGATATTACATATATATATATAGTGTGTGTATTTATTCCTTCTTTCCTTCATATGACCGTTCCGTAAGGGTGTACGCATGTGTCTGACCGCTATCTACACGTTATTTGTCCTTACAGTGCGTCCATCGACCGGGCCACGGATTCCAGCGCGGCAGCTACGATTGCGTGTGCAAGGACAAATTCCACTTTCCCGACCCGTCGGCGAAGACGAAACGCTTCAACGGAAGTGACGTCGAGCGAGCCTACCTACTGTGGAGGAACAATTACTCAGCGCCACCTGGCGGCTCGTTGGCGAACTTCACCGATTACGATAGAGGATACGAATGTGTTGCGTGCAAGCGTGGCTGCGATACTTGTGAAGACGATGCGCCGTGCTTCGTGGAGTACAACGCTCTACTGAGGGGCGTGGCGCTCGGCATACAGACATTCTGTATGACCATCGCTTTATTTCTAGGTATCGTCGTTTTTCGAGTGAGAAAGAATAGGGTGAGTAGATTTCTTTTTGGGTTATGTCGTCATCATAGAAATAATACTAGCTATAGTATCAAGAGCTAATACTATTATTAGTATTATATATTATATATATATATAGTATATTATAATATTATAATAGTATTATTAGCTTTTGATTAGCTTACTATATACTACAAATAATACTATATATTTCTATGTTCGTGATTGGTCCTCTCCCTTCTAGTGTGGTTGGTGGGGTCCCCCACATCTTCACAGGATTCTAGCCAATCATTGTTGAGTTAGAACGTTCTAAAAAACAATTGTTGGCAACGAAGTGCTAACGTCCCAGTTTTCTAGTCCAGTAACCTATCCATCTAAGCGAGATATCAATTAGGTTCATATTCTTGGATGGTCGTTTAAGTTAGACCTGTTATGTTATTCACGCGGGCAAACTGTTGGCGTCATGTCACTTCCTCACTACATAATGTTTTTCGAGTGTCCTATCGCGGCAATGATTGGTGAGATCAATCCATCAATCACTCCAGGCAGATCGGTCTGTTATCATCAGCAGAGATTCATAAATGCTCATGTTTGCCTCTGTTTATTACCTATTACTACTTATACCTTGCACTGTACGTGGTTTTTAGCATTTTCTTCCCCTATTGCAACACTACGTAGACATTCGTTAAACATTTACGTTATTGTAGTTTTTACTGCAATACCAGACATTCGTCAGCTAGGAAACTTGCTTTATTAAATCCATTAATGTTCGTGCCGAAAAACAAATTTGCGCTTGGTCAGGCAGTGATTAATCTGTTTCTAAATAATATATACTTTCCAACCCACTCGTGATTTCCAGTTAATAAACGCAGTGGCTTTATTAACGCGGCACTTGCAAGTGAAGAACTTGGTTAATATGATTCTTTAATGTGAGAATTTAAATTTGAATAAGTGTATAGTGATTGACTATTAGATTTTGCTTATTAATGATGTTGTTGATATTTCTGTTGTTGCAGAGCCTGTATAGCAGCATCTGGCTGATATTGGAGGTCATGTTGTTCGGAGCACTACTGCTTTATGCCACGGTGAGTTACTCTGGCGACTGCGCGAGTAATTCCAGCTGATCTCCATCGATTCCACGCCCCCCCCTCTCTCTCTCTCTCTCCCTTTCTTC